CACACAGCACACAGCACCACACAGCACACAGCACCACACAGCACACAGCACCACACGGCACACGGCACACAGCACACAGCACCACACAGCACACAGCACCACACAGCACACAGCACCACACAGCACCACAGCACCACACAGCACCACACAGCACCACAGCACCACACAGCACACAGCACCACACAGCACACACCACACAGCACACACCACATAGCACCACACAGCACACAGCACCACACAGTACCATCACCTCTTCTGTGTGTGCACAGGGTTTTGAACAAAGCTTTGAATCTGAGTAGAACAGTTAACACACCAGGTATGAAACCATTTTGTTTAGAAAGCTGTGGATGTGGCTGCCGTCTGTGGACCTGTTTTGTAGGAACTGTTTCCTCCCTTTCCTCTGTCATACACATGGTTTGCTGTTTGACTCTGGACTTCTGTTTCCTTCTAGGAATCTGGAACTCTGTGCTACCTACCGCATAGGCACGGGGCCTGGGTGACCATTTCCCAATGCCAAATCAGGTGTTCGGTGCTGTGTTTCTGACATGTTTCCCCAAGAGAAGCACTCTATGTGTGATGTTGCATTTCAGCATTGTTGTTGAAAGAGCAAGCCAAGTATCTCCCCTCAGCAGGAGGGGAGAGGTTGAGGGAGCTGGAGTGGGATTTCTCCAGTCTTTCCCTGGAACATCCTTGCTATGTCAGGAACTCTGTGAGTCATAAATATACTACAAATAACAAATCCTATCTGTTTGTTGGTCTTTGGGCATGGGATAGTTGTGGGGCTACTGACAAGGTGTGGTGCAGCTTTGGGGCATTGCTGTATCTAATATAATCTCAGATTAGTACTTTTTAGAACATAAACCTGACAGTTCTTGAGGGAAAGCCATTTGTTTCTCACAGAGTTTTATAGGTTTAATTGCTTGTGGAAGAAAACTTGGTAGTATTGACTGAGAGGAGAAAAATCATTTGTCCTTTTAATTTCTTGTTTTGAAACTCTGGAAGAAGTTCTGAAGTCTTCTCTTTATGGACAGACTGTTAAGGTGTGTATCCTTAGGTTAGTTATATTTGAAAACTTTCTGAGATTGTATCTGTAGGCACAGGAATGTATAGACTGGGCCTCCCATCACTTCCATCCCCATGTATTAGAAACAGACCTTTATTGCTTTACAGGATACTTTACTTGATTTAACCCGCCTGCCGTTGCTCCCTGAGTGCTAGTTAAAGGCTGTCCACAGTGCCTGGTCCCCGAATGCTAGCTAAAGCCTGCCCCCAATGCCTGGCCCCATAAAAGCTTTTTTAAAAGAATAAAATAAAAGTGCTGATGAACAGGGGAGGCTGCACAAGAAATTGAGGGCCTTCCCTTTGGTTCATCTAAAGCCAGAATCTGTCCTGGGGGTGGGGTTCAGGTGAATGTGTAGATGAAGCACAATCCTAATTAGTCTTAACAATAAATACCTGGAGTCTGATATTGAGGATGAAGGCTGAAAGATCAGAGAAGCAGCCACTCGAGAGACTTCTGACCTCTAGGAATCCTCAGACTAAATGGGCTGGAGATCCTGTCTCCTCCTGCTTTGTATTCCTGTTTCCATCTCCCAAGTGCTTGGATCAATTTCTTGTATCCCAAGGTGGCCTTGAACTCCTGATCTTCCTGCTTCCTCCTCCCAAGTACTGGGATTAAAGGTGTGTGCCACCGCTGCCTCGATGGTTAACTAGTGGCTAACTCTGCCCTCTGATTGCCAGGTAAACTTTGTCAGAACACAAACAAAATATCACACAATATTTCCCCCTTTTTGTCTAAACAAAAAGCACAGGTTTTAACTAACATAGAAAAACTATATGCAAAAAGTACAATAACTATATACAAATATATACAGGCAATAATTACATTAAGAATGTCTAGTCCACTAGCATTTGGCAAATTCAGAGAAAATACTCCATTATCTATCCTATCTTGGTGAGTCTAAAGTGTTGTACCTAATTCACTTTCTATCCTAACTTGCATTACCAACCCAAAACTATCTTTTTATGTCTTTCAACCTTATACACTTTACACCTCTTTTGTGAGTGTCTTTTCTGAGATGGGTAACAAGGAAAATTATAACTATGACTATCTGGTCTTCAGCTCCATCAGAGATGTGAGAAGGATATAATAGTACCTGAGTAAACAGGAAGTACAGAGCAAACAACTTCCAAAAATAAGAAATGACAGAAACAGCTGGCTGCCTGGACAGTCACCCAGGGTTCCTCTGTAATGTTGGGGCATCCATCTTCTGCCTGCAGGCCTAGCATATCTGACAGACTTTCTGAGAAGCAGGATTGTAGAAGGACTGTTCTACCTTGTCTTGGCAAAGTTCAGCAGTCCTTTCTTTTGTGTCCTGCTTGTCCACTTTGGACAGCATACTGTCGGCAGTCGAGGCAAGGGCAGTTTCTTGCCTAGTGGCTAACTTTTGCTACAAAGAAAGTAAAGTCTTTATGGAGTTTCTTTGATGCCCATCATCTTCTGTGAAGTTGATTGGTGCTGCCAGGAACAAACATGTCTCATTGTCATAAAAAAAGAACCTTATGTTATTAAAACATAAACGCTATATATATTTTGTAGATCTCTGAAGTGTTTGAAGACCATATGACTATCTAAAATATATTTCTATTTGACTTTGAAAACATACCTAACATGACTGCAAGTTTGATTGTAATAGGTGACTAACTACTAACCTGCATTTCTTTATTATCCTAAATAGTTTATAATAACTTTCAAGGACTAGAAATTTGAGGTACAAATTTGAGGTACAATACCTTGAACAAGATTAGAAACATGTACAGTACATTCTAACCAAAATAACTTTAAATTTGTATGAATATACAAAAACCCATATCAATGTAAAATATTTAAAACTAGAAGTTGCTTTATTGGTTTAAAAATAGATTCAATAATCTACTTTTTTATCCTATGCTGTAGATGATTGATTGATAAATAAAATGCTGATTGGCCAGTAGCCAGGCAGGAAGTATAGGCGGGACAAAGAGAGAGGAGAAGTTGGGAAGTAGAAGGCAGAGGGGAGGAGACGCCAGCCTGCTGTCCAGGGAGCATCATGTAAAGGCAGCAGGTAAAGCCACGGAACACGTGGCGACATATAGATGAACAGAAATGAGCTGAGTTTAAGTGTAAGAGCTAGTCAGTGGTAGGCCTGAGCTAATGGTCGAGCAGTTTAATTACTATGAGCTTCTGAGTGATTATTTTATAAGCAGTTGTGGGGTCTGTGGGGCTGGGCAGGACCTGAGAAAACTCCAGCTTCAACAGTCCTATTTCTATATCACCCTTTTTTCTTTTTATGACAAGACCCCTGAATCTCATCTCCTTAGTTCAGCTTTTTTCCTGACCATGACCAATAACAACTTGTAACCAACCATCCTAAATGATAACAAATATCCATAACTCAATGAATGACTCAAAGCCACCCTCCCCACCTCTTGGGAATGTGGGCATCATGTTCTTAAAATTACATCCTGCTCTCTTGGGGTGTTGGCATCTTTAGGGGACCCTGAAAAAAAATGAGATAATTGTGAAGCCCTGGGAGAGCCACACACATGCAGACTTGATTTCCTGTGACTGACAGTTGTGTTTTCTGTGGTTTATGTACTGTTGTTTCCCTTAGATCAGGCCTCTGCTTCCCCCACTAAGTCACTCAGCTGTCCTGTCGTTCCCTCCGTGCCTCTGTGACTTTCCTACCTTCTTTCTCCCTTTCTCGATTTCACTTTTCCATTCTTCCATATCTTGACTCTGCTCTTGCGTCATGTCATATGGGGCAGCTTTTATTCTGCATTTTAGAGACGGTGCTCTTCTTTGTATTAATGGTACAGATTCAAGATATAATGTAAAAAGTAAATTTGAAAGAAAAATAAAGATTTTAAATATATATGCATCTATAAATATATACATGTATGTGTTATGTATGTATATATACATATATTTGTGTGTATGTATATGAGAGTGCAAAACGAACTAATATAAGAGCTGTTGCCTGGAGTTGTCTTGTCTTCATCTCTAGAACCCCTCAGCATGTCAGGTTATGTCACAAGGGGCAGCCAGAGTTAATGCTGCTGATCAGATGACTTCATAAGATTACCCTGAAATTTCCAGGTAAGCCCCGTGAACATCTTTGAAAGTCCAAGAGGCACAAGGAAGTAGACATGGCAGTGGGGGCCACAGTGGTGTGGCTGCTGGCTCTGAAGGAGAGGGGCCACAGCCAAGACTGTGAGCAGCCTCTAGGAGCTGGGAAGCTTTAGCTGTGGCTTCTCCCTGGGACCACAGAAGCAGCACAGTCATGTCGGACCCCAGAGCTTGTTTTAAATTGGTATGTAATCATTGTCATAGCCCATTGTCACCTGCTTTAGATTTCTGGCCTGAGACCCATAAACTAGGGCACTGGGTGGCTTTAGGCCACATGCACAGTTTGTGACAGGAGCAGGAAGCTAACCCACATGTCATCACCAGCCCCTTACATGGAGACTAATTCTCTTCTAATCACTTTAAACAGGTAGGTTAGCTTTACAGGTTATAAAGCACTGTGGAGAATTTCAGAAATATTACAAACTGTATTTCTCTTAGCTCTCTATTCATGCATATTTTCATTTACTTTTTATTTTATGTCTCTGAGTGATGCCAGGAGAGGGTGTTAGATCCTCTGGAATTAGAGTTGTGGTTGGTTACAAGCTGTTATGGGGGTGCTGGGAGCTGAACCCAGGTCTGCTGGAAGCACAGCCAGAGCTCTTAACCACAGAGCCATCTCTCCAGTCCCTGCCCAGGCCTCTTCTAAAACTGAGCTCTGCTGTGTGTTTTTCTATCCTTTTTTTCAGTTAACAGAAATAATTTTCATGATAGTTTAAAAAACTTCGCAAACACTTTGTAAACATTATTTTTCATGTCTACATAATAGTAAAAATACAGTTGTGTGATCATTTCTCAAGCCGAGGTGACTGAGGTCATTAGCAGAGCTGTTTTGTAGGGCTGGTTTTGTTAGGAGCATCTTTCTGAATAGGCTCTTTCTTTTGCTTTGATTACTAAGTGATTCCTAGGACTGTAATGGTTCTGCTCGAGACAGTGTTACAGAATTAGGTGAACAACTGTGAAACCTTCCAAGGGTAGAAAGCTTTGGAAATGCTCTCACCTGTCCACAGATGGAGTCCCACTTTATAACTAGAGATTGGTGCTGGGATGTGACATGGGCTTTGAGATATAGGATTTTTTTTATTGTTTTTAAGAAAACATTTCAGTGAACATAGAAAATTTAGAAAATAGAATAGTAATTGTGAGAAGACCCCTTATTTTACCCACCTGCTGTGGAATAATCCTTCTGTACATTGTGAAAATGTGTTGCTCTCATTGTTAATAAAAAGCTGATTGGCTGATAGCTAGGCAGGATTTCGGGGCAGAAGGAATGCTGGGAAGCAGAAGGGTAGAGTCTGAGAAGTTCCGAGCCAGGCGCAGAAGAAGCAACATGGGAAGTTCATAGATGAGGAAAACGAGCCTCAGGAGAGACACAGAGAGAAGTAAGATGAGCATGCCATGTTGAAAGAAGGTACTGCCATGTGGCAGAGAGTAGATAAGAAATATGGTTTAATTTAAATTTAAGAGTTAGCTATTAACAAGCCTGAGCTATCAGCTGAGCATTTATAATTAATAAGTCTCTGAGTGGTTATTTGGGAGCGGCTGCTGGGACACAGAGGAACACTGCCTACATTCCACATTTCTCAGGCCATGTGTCTGCTTTCCTATAACTGCAGTTTCTCTTATCTCCTGTACTGACTTTTCTAGGTTCAACTGAGACTCTTCTTCTACACTCGAGGGCTGACCTCTTAACGTCTGGCAACATTTGTCTCCCTGTTAGGATGTAACTGATGGCTAAAGCCAAGTCTTACTCAGTTCTGCACCTATACAATAAGTACAAAATAGGATTTTGCATGATCAAATGCAAGTGCAGGCCTTGGTGGAGAGTTACCACCAAGTAAAACTGCAAAATCCATCCCTTGACTCTTCATTCAGCCCTTCTTGAAAGAGCTGCTCTTCCTAGATACCACTGCTGGACCAGCATTCTCCAAATTCTGCCTCCACTAACTTCCTCAATTTTTCGCCTTGGTTCTTCTTGAATATTAAATGAGAGGGTTAATCTGAGTGACTCTCAAGTTTCTCCTTGAAATTCCAGCATTCTAGACCATCTGATTAGGCTGGAAGCTGTTGTCATAGTATAGCATGTAGCCGAGTTAAAATCACCATGTTAACCTGCTTGAAGGCTGATGAACCCACTGCCCCACTCGTGTGTCTGAGAATTTGCAGTTTGTCCCTTTAGAACATGCTTCTCTCCCACACATTCCCTGCCAACTTACTCCACTTGCTGTGCTGATTGAAGCCTTCTCTGGCCTTGGCTTTCTGGGTGTCCTCCTTGTCACCTCCCCCAGTGGCTCCTCTCTCTGTTCATGTTGACACTTATATACACTACCACATGTCAGTTAGCATTCTTCACCCATTCATTGGGACAACAGTTTTAAGCACTGTGATTTCTCCCTGTTTGTATTTTGCTTCCCCTGAGAACACAAGCTTCAAAGTCAGAAATAGTTCTCTGCCTTCTTCCTTGTCCTCTCAGGACTGTGGACGCATGGAGTAGCTGTTCAAAATGTATTGACCAGGGATTCATCTGCATGTGGTCAATTATCAAATCTTGGTTGCTATTATACAAAGTGTTTGCCCCATCAGCGTTAGCAAGTGCTGCCATTTGAAGAATCCTGAGCTCTTCAGAGCCACTGAAGGCAGGTGGCCTTTTATCTTAGATCTTGAACTATTACGATTCTCCTTACAGGTAAAGGACCAATCCTAGTGAGTGGCATGGGCATTCAGAGGGGTCTGGGGTATGAATGAGTTGAGACTTGAGCTATATTTTGAAGGTTGAACTTTGAATACTGTGGAGCTGGGACTTGTGAGTTGGGCCTCATGAAGGTTTGTTGTGAACTTTGTGGTGTGCACAGTGAGGGTTTCAGAAACAGTTATGAAGTGATCTAGATTAGGAAAGGAAGGCTGGGGGGTAGGTAGATGTGCAGTGATTGGATGTGGGTGGCAGGGTGAGGAGAACACGCAGTTTGGTTTGAACTTCAACTCCACCTTGTGTTTCTTGAGCTGTGAAAAGGTGGCCAACATTCTTAGTCTCTGCAGCCCCCATTTTCTTCACGTTTGAGGTGGAGATAATGATATAACTGAGAAGGATTGAATGAGATAATGAATGAAAGTACAGAGTGGAAATTAAATGGTAAGCTGCTCAAATACTGATGATAGTCCCTTTCAGTTGTAGCCATTTTCCTCTGAATTCTGAGTTGTGCGATTACATTGTGTTCTTTTCTTAAGGCAAATACTTGGAGCCTTACAAAAAATTGCCCGCTTGTATAAAAAGAAATTATTAAATCCACTCTACTCTCCTTCATGAGCTGTGGTGTGTAAGGATAAGTTGTGGAATATTTGTTTAACTAGGCAAAGATGTGTTACATTTGTTCATGCTGCATTTGTTAACTATGTAAGGATGTGTTGCTTTTGAATTAATTAAATAAAATTAAACTGGGCTCAGAGAGGTGGGGTTAGCAACTGGTTGGCAGGAAGTAGCGGGGAGGAGCTTAGTGTGGGTTTTTCACTTGGGGCGGTGTGAAAGGGGGTGTTTCCAGGCAACCAGCAAAGAGAGAAAGTTGGCCAGTTGCTATTCTGCCTCTCTGAGCTCACAGGTTTTCACCCTAGCCTTTGAATCTCCAGTTTTGTTAAAACAACAGAGATTTAGTTAGAACTACCTTTAGCGGCAGCAACAGAGCCATTATCTGGGGAAACAGAATTTCTCCCAGGCTGTGGCCTTGGCTGCCCAGCCCTAGTTTAAAGCAAGTCACTGTAATGAAGGTCAGACAAGCAATAAGCAGTGTTTGGAACAGAAGAGAACTACAGCCACCATGCTGTGGTTGGCCGGGCTGGGCTGGTGCGGTTCTCTTGGCCCTCATTCCAGCTGTAGTTTTGTTTGTTTGTTTGTTTGTTTTCTGTTGGCTGATCAGCCATGTTTTTCTTTTCTTGATTGTGTGCTGCCTGCTCCTAATCATCTGTAATGGTTCGTTAGCTACAATGATGGCTTTTACTTTGTTTAGTAATGAATCCTGTCAGGATTTCATCAGCCCGCTTGAACATGGCTAATTGTACCATGTCTATTTTATGGTACCCATATACAATCCCAGCGCAGCCTTTGGGACTGCTCTGAATCTCCATCCTATAGTTGACTGGGATGAGGCATCTGCTGTGTTTAATATGTAGGAATGGGAAAATACTCTTTTCTCTCTTTCCCTATTCAGAATTCTTAGTTGCCTGACATCATCTAGCTGGATTAATAGTGACTCCAAATTCTGTTAATGTGTATTTTTTATAACCTTGATCTTCATAGGCCAGTAAATTATAAACAAGATATGCAGATGTTTGACAAACTTTGATTTCAGAATAGATTGTCATATTATTTCTTTCTTTCGTAGTGGTTGGGATTGGAAGAGGAACAAAAATGTTGTCCAGTATGTTGTCCGGGTCCAAGGTAAGTCTGTCAGAACGTTTTTCTTTCTTCTTTGATGTTTTTCTCAGTGACTGTTTTACTTTTCTATTGCTGTGACAGATCACCGTGAGCAGGACACCTTATCCCTGGAACTGTCCTAGACTGATAGTTCCAAAGGTTAGATTCTGTGATGGTGGAGCAAAGACCTGGAAACAGGCAGCTGGAGCAGCAGCCTAGAGTCACATCTCAAGCCACAAGCAGGAGGCAGGGAGCACCCTGGGAATGGCAGGTGTCTTGAAACCTCCAAGCCCACCCCCAGTGACTCACCTCCTCCAACAAGACCACACCTCCTAATTGTCCCTAAACAGTTCCACCAACTGAGGACCAAGTGCTGGAACATATGGGGGCCATTCTTACTGAAACGAACACAGTGACCTACGTGTTGAATTTCATTAATAAAAACAAACAAACAAAAAACCCAGAGGACTGAGAGATGGCTCAGAGTTTTCGAGTGTTTGCTGCTTTTATAGAGGACCTAGGTTCAAATCCCAGCACCCATATGACGGTCACAACCAGCCATAACTCTAGTTCCTGGAGATCTGACACCCTCTTTTGACTTTTGAGGGCAACATATATGCAGATGAGCCATTCATATACACTTTTAAAAAAATCTAAAATCCCTCAATCATAATAAAAAAACAAATTGCCAGACATAGTAGTATGGGACTGCAATTCCAGGACTTGGGATGCTAACATAGGAGTATTGTTGCAAGTTCAAAGCCAGTCTGAACTACATAGAATGCTGTCTCAAAAATTTAAAGAAAGAAAAGTAGAATTTGCATGGACAAGTGTCTTTCCTGTTCATCACAGTGCTTGTAAACATAAGGCTATGAACTGAACAATTAGACTAAAAATATTTTAAATAGTCTATATTTGGATTTCTTAACGATGAAAGGAAATTATAGATTATAAATTCCACTGAAAGATTGTGTGTGTGTGTGTGTGTGTGTGTGTGTGTGTGCGTGTGTGTGTGTGTGTGTGTGTGTGTGTGTGTGTGTGTGTGCGTGCGCGCGCGTGCTAGTGCTGCTGTGCCTGGCTCTTCATGGTTTTGGGGATTGGAACAGAGTGTTTGCACCGAGAGAGCTTTGCCCACGGAGCTAACATCTCCACACCTGGTTTGGATTTTTTAGCCTTGGGATTTTTATAAAAACAGAACCATTTTGTGAGGTGTGTACTTTTTAATGAAAACGTGCCTTGTTCAGTAATTGTGAAGTGAAGACAGTGAGGTACTCAGAGAATAGCTCAGCAGTGCTGACTGTGTGAGCGTGAAGACCTGACTCCGATCTCAGCACCCAGCATCAGATGCTGGCATGATCACATGTATCTGTGACCTGCTGTTGAGGTGCAGGGACAGGTGGGTCCAGGAGCTTGCTGGTTACCCAGTATAGGCAGAATGGTAAACTCCAGGTTCAGTGAGAGACCCTACCTAAAAAAGATAGAGCGGAAAGGCATCATGGAAGATATTCCAATGTCAACCTCTACCTCCACACATGCGCACCCCCCACACCTACACCTACACCTACACGCACGCACGCACGCACCTCAAAAGAAGACAGCAGGACCCCTTTAAGATGATTATATTGCTTGTCTGTGGAGGTAGCCTTGACTAAATCCAAGTGCACTTTTTTAGGCACTTGTGGGGAGAAAGAGGAGGTTGGCAACCTAGGGGGCCACTTGGGGGGTTCAGCATGATAGAAGAACATTGAAGAGAAAGTTAGGATGTCAAAGTTGTCAACCTCCATAGACTAGCACCACCTCCCACACATGTTCATATAACCCACACATGTACATACAACCCACACGTGTACATACAACCCACACATACATGCAGAAGTGTTAAAATGTGAGTCGTTGCTTACTGGTAGATTACGCGTTGTTCTTCAGCTCGGCCATGCAGCTCACAATCTGTTTTGGATACAAATTTTTGCCAGTAGCTTTGTTTCTTAACTACAAAATAGAAATGATTTCTTTAGTAAGGGAATAAGGATTATATTTATTTTATTTTTTACATTATTTGGCGTCTTTTAAAAGTTTTACCAATAAACAAATCACTTTTATGTCAGTAACAAAATGACATATTTACATTAATAATTTGTTCAGGCTCTCTCCCCAAGCTAGAATTGGTTGAGGTCACTGAAATATTTGCTGTTCATCCCTCTCTACAAAATCATAGGCACGTGCAGCACTCTGGTTACTGAGAGTTCACTTGTAAATTCCAGGCATATTTTCAGAAAAATGATGACTGAAGATGGAAACACATCTGGTTCAGGTTTTATTTGGTAGAAACTGCTTTGGTGTTCATCTAGAAAAGCTGAATGTCGCACAGAGAAATTAGGGATCCTCAGACGACTGTAACGGAAATAGAACACCCAGGTGCATCTCGTCACAGAAACCCAATGTTGTGTTTCACAGAATTTTGGATCAGGCATCAGTGTTTGCTTTTCTCACACTTCTGATTTCATGTTACATATTTGTTAAAAAGATTAAGTCATTTTGTTTTGACTTGTGTGTTGAAGATTACATTTTTTTGTCAGGAACAATTAGTAACTATTCATGGATATTGCAGAGTGTTAATAGACTGTATTCCTTACTTTGTATGCTGCTGTGACAGACTACGTAACAAAAGTGACCCAAGGGTTCTCTGGGCCCCCAGCTCCTGGGGTCAGACCGGTGTGGTGGGAAGGCCTGGTTGTCGGGGCAGCGGCTCCTGCCACAGTAAGTGAGGAAGCAGGAGGGAATGCTGATGCTCAGCTGGTCTCCCCCGTGGACCGGTACAGCTACATTTAAGGTGAATCGCCTCACCTCACTGAACCTTATCTGCACAGTTCTTCACTAACCGGTCCAAACATTGGCTTCCATTGTGCGTCTAAATCCCATCAAGGTGACAAGGGAGATTAGCTGTCATAAAGACCATAGTAAATTCCCTTTATTGTGAGGCTGTATACATAGACATCTGTAAAATATAAGCAAACATTTTCATCAAATAACTCCAGTCCTGTATATGATGGACCTTTGTTTGTTTGAAACAGGGTCTCATATGGCCAAGCCTGGCCTTGAATTCCTGATCCCCCTGCCAGTGCCCCTTAAGTGCTGGGATCGGGTGAGGCACCACCGTGTGCCTGTGAGGTGCTCTTCTACCCCACCGCTCCCCAGGCCCTTGTGTGCCTTTGACGTTTTCTTTCTAGCTCATTTGAAAAGATGTCAGTGACTATAGCCTCTGTTTGACCCAGGTTTAATGACCGAACTCCTGTTCACTCCTTATCTGCTTCCAAAATCCTTTGCAGGTGGATTTTCATTTGTATCACACACTGCTTGAAACATTACACTGGTGTGTAAGGTGGAGCTGCTTCATTTCATTCTAGGGTGGTAGGTGCTCAATTGATGTTACGTGCATATTGTGAACTCTCCCTTACACACCAGGCCTGGAGGTATTGCTAATCTAACGTGGATGAACATCTTCCCACAGCCAAGAAACATCATTAGAAATTGTTTCTTCTTCTTAGTACTCTTTCATATTGCCACTCTTGATTAACAGGCAGAGTGCTGGATTTTATTTTTTTATTTTATTACTTTGTTTGTTTGCTAGAGGCAGATTCTCACTATGTAGCCTGGCTGGCCCGGAACTCACTGTATAGATAGGCTGGCCTGGAACTCACTGCTGAGTGCTGGGATTAAAGTCTTTTGTCACCATTGGGCTCTTAAATGAAAATCTTCAGGCCATCTACTATTGCTAATGTCTGTGAAGATGGAAACTTCTGACATTCAGATCGTGTCTTGCGATCTCTTCCTCAGGTCAGGGTGTTGGAGCCCGGAGGCCTGGCCCTGCATCCTCGGGTCCTTGCTGTAGGCTTGACTTCGCCTGTGGTCCTGTTACTCTTGGGTGTTGTGTTTTTTTTCACTGCTCTTTTGAGGTTGTGTGTATAATGAGTGTTAAAGCATCTGGGTTTTCTTTACAGTTGCTCACCACACAAAGTGCTCAGTAAGTAGTGCTATTCCGTTCTCGGGAGGTTCACATCTCAGCAAAGCCCTTTCTCTTCTGAATTTCAGGCCCGCCAGATTGCTCTAACATCATGTTCCATATACACCTGAAGTCAATTTTATCCAAACACGTTCTTGACTGCAGTTAATTTTTTCTTTTTTTAAATTCCTGTAATTTCTCAAACTATAGAGAAAACAGCACTCATCAAAAAGAAAAAGCTATTTTTTAAAAGAAGAGGCAATTTCTCAGACAGAAATTTCACACATTAAAGGATTTAGGGTGTAGATAGATGTGGTTCTCAAAAGAGTTTACAAGCCAGGCGTGGTGTCACACACTTAGTCCAGTATTCTCTTTAGGAGGCAGAGATGGTGGATATCAGGACCAGCCTGGTCTACATAGAAAGTACCAGGCCAGCCAGAGCTACATAGTGAGACCCTATCTCAGAAAGAAAAGAAAAAAGTTTGGAATCAGTGTAGAAATAGGTCTTCATAAAGTATAATTTAGACAAAATTCTTCTGGGAGATTGGACTAATGTCTGGTGTGTAAAGGAAGGCAATGCCTCCCCACCCTCCCCTAAGTTAACCTTTGAACCAGTTAACTCAGCAAAAGCTGGGGACCACATGCATGTTGAAGCCCCAGGCTTTGATGAGGTTCTGGAGAGTGGCCTTACAAGTTTTCCATATGATAATTAGAGTTGGCTACTTTATTTATGTCTTAGAGACCAGAGCACATGAAAGAAGAAGTTACCTATTGTGAAAACTTGAATCTAACTCGCACTGTACAGACATGCGGTTACCCCACACCTACAAGGAGGTAGACCACAGTGGTCTCTCAGGCAAAGCCAGCAAGTCTCACAGCAGAACAAGTATTGTTGCTCCACAGCTTTCCACCCTGGATGTGTTCAGAGGGCAGAGGTTCTCTAAGAATGCCAGCATCTTAGGTTCACCAGTCATTATGCACCTGTGAAATTCAGCTAGTCTTGTTTTAAGATTTGACATTCTAT